CAAATGTTAAATTAGGAGCTATGCCTCATTCTCCAAAAGGCTTTGTGACTTTGAAAATTCCTTAACTTCAAGTTGAAAAGAGAACAGGTTGAACAAATTATCTTCAAGTTCTGAACTCTTAGGAAAAGGCAAATGGACATATTTTGTCATCTAAACACACAGAATTTTCTTCTCCTTTGGACCAAGAGGACAGAAGCATAAAGAGAGAATGTAATAATCATTTATACAGATCAAAGGTGTATTTTTTGAAATAATTAAGCAAATTAACAATTGCTTGAGCAGTGGTTAAAAATAATAATTCACTGATAAGTAGCTATGAGAACCTTGTTTTTCTTTACACACCTACACAAACTCACACCATATACATATGCACAATTACACAGTGAATTCACCACATACACACATAAGATATAAGAGAACAAAAATGTCGATCAAAATCAACTGAAAACCCTATACTTCCTCTATAACAATGTTTAGGTCCCTCACCTTCATGTTCCTTACGAAGCATCGTCGCCCAATAACCATTGGATCTCCTGTTGCGCACTAGACGAAGGATCTTCACTATTCTTATGAATAATAATGGCAAACCGAGGAAAACATTTACATGATTCACCAATAATCTCCACAGGAACAAAATCCGTCTTTAAAATGATGAAAGCGATCAGTGTCCCTAACAAAAATCTCTCTGTGTTCAAAGCTGGATATGAGTTTTATGGCAGTGTGACAGTCACCACAGATTCTGAGGTTCTTAAGCACCTGTAGAGGAGACCCAGGACTAGTGTTCAGAAGCCCTACCGCAACTGCCAACTTCTCGCTGTGGCCACATAAGATCTGTTCCTTGTCTTGTTCCTCCACATCTTGCAATACAAAGTCAGTAGCAAGAAAGCAACCTGATTTTTTCATTTCCATCCTCAATTCAGCCAACTTTTCTATATTTTGGGTCATTTGAGGATGTGAATTATCACCGGCAATGAGCATATGTACTTTGCTTTTGACCTCAATCCAACTGTAGCTAGGGTTTTTCCTCAAACCCCTGCTCTTCATCATATCCCTCACCATATTTACTTCAACCCACATTCCCTTAGAAGCATAAATATTTGATACAAGAATGTAGTTTCCAGGATTTTTTGGTTCTAATGCAAAGATTAAAACAACATTTTTGTAAACTCCGCATGAACTAAGCAAAGCACACCAAACACAAGCATCAGGATCAAAAGGCATCTGCTTGATCAAGGTATACGCCTCTTGCAGCCTTCCAGCCCAACCGAGAAGATTCACCATGCAAGCATAATGCTCCAATCTAGCTTTAATACCATAATTGTTGGACATACTTTTGAAATAATTCCAACCCTCATCTGTTAGACCACCTTGGCTGCATGCAGATAATACACAAATCAGGAGTTTGCCCACTGTTTTGATATGTCAATTGCTTCCTTAGTCTTTCCATGCATAGCATATCCAGCCATAAACGCATTCCAAGAAACTGAGTTTCTGGTAGGCATCATATCAAAACAGAGCTTGGAAACATGTATGCTTCCGCACTTTGCAAACATGTCAATCAGTGCACTGCCTCCATAAACATTACTTGAAATTCCACTTTTAAGAGAAAAACAATGGGCTGCCTTCCCATGCATCAATGCTGCAATATTTCCATAACCTGGCAGTAAGCATGGTATCGTCACAGAATTTGGCCTTACACCAACATCCTGCATTTCCCTGAAAATCTCCAAAGCTTCAATATCCTTCCCATTCTTGGAACAGCTGGCAATAATTGATGTCCATGAAACAACATTCAATTCGAACCCTTCAAACTTGAATTTTCTAAATAACAATATCCTTACACCAACATCCTGCATTTCCCTGAAAATCTCCAAAGCTTCAATATCCTTCCCATTCTTGGAACAGCTGGCAATAATTGATGTCCATGAAACAACATTCAATTCGAACCCTTCAAACTTGAATTTTCTAAATAACTTCAATGCATTGTCCACGAGACCATTTCATGAGAGCCCTGTAACTAAAGCATTACAAGCACCTATATCCACCTGCTATATCTCATCAAACACTTTTGACATCTCCATGTACGTGCACACTTTACATACATATCGATAAGTGCAGAGACCACACAATTGTCCTGTTCTAAACCTTGCTTAATGACAAGTCCATGAATCTGAAAGCCCATATCCAAGATTTTCAAGCCACCTACTACGTAGAGCACACTAGAAAAACTAGTCCCATCGGGTCTAAATCCTTCCAAATGCATCTTTTGAAACATAATAACTGCCTCAGAATAGTTTTTGCGATGAGTAAACCCCACAATCATTCCATTCCAAGAGATCAAATTAAGTTCAACACCAGCATCTTCCCTTCGAGAAAACAACTCCTTAGTGTCTTTTACGCAACCCTTTCTTGCATAACCTGCAAGCAAAGCACTGTAAGCAACAATGTCTGGTTGAGGCAGTCTATTGAACGCCTTGTGAGCATCCTTTATCCTGTTGCATTTAATATACATAAGTATCAAAGAGGATATAATACACGCGAATCAGAATCAAACCCAAACGTAGATGTAATACAATGAACCTGCTTCACAGTCTTCAGCAAAGATAACCCAATACATGCCTTGATAATAGTAGGCAAGACATGTCCATCATGCATAATATCATGTGAGCATTTGTGATAAGGCAAGCATTGCCTGACCAAAATGATTAAGCTTTGCAAAGGAATATATAAGGGTAGAAAAGGAGATGACATTAGGTTCAGGTATTGAACTAATAATGACATTCTCATCAGTTAAAGAGTGATGATCTGCAAACAGAGAAAGGGGTCGGTTGGTGAGGAAATTTTTGGTGAAAATACCTCATTTATGGACATATTCACAGGCCTGCCAGTTTTGTGGAGATATTGTGGCTGAATTGAGGTAGAAGATAGAGTGGTGAAGATGTGGAAATAAGGGGAGGGCTTGTCTCCCCATATATAATAAATCCTTAAAAAGAGCTATATATATATATATATATATAAGCTATATATATATATATATATATATATATAAACAGATTCCACCCAGTAAGCATCATCTTCTCTATGGAGAAATTGAAGGTTTAATTGACAATACCAATGTCTCCCCAGCAGAGATGGCAGAGGAACTAATGAACAGTGAGGATTGATGTTGCTCTTAATGGACTTGTTAATTTCCTTAAAAGGAAGAACATTGAAGTCAGTGAAGCTAAGGATGAAACAAGTGGAAAAATTGACGAAGGAGAAGCCAAGAGGCTAAAATTAGGCAACAGGGAAAAAATTTTATCTGCTGATGAGGATTCTTTGAGCTACAAGATCTAATAGAAGAAGATATAGTGAGCCATTCATTGTATTAGGATTGGCATTACTGTACATACTGCTCCTTATCAATAGCTTCATAAAATTTCTTCTCCTTATGGTTCCCTATTTTGATAGCTTTTCGTGAATTCCTGGAATTTCCTGTATAAATTATGTAACAATAATATTATTATGTTAATAATATAATGAAATTTGCATGTTGGAGTTTCTCTAATCAACTACCATTCTGTCTTCATTTCATTACATTCTAGTCCAAGAGACATACAAGATTTTCAATCACATCTTTCAAAAATGAATTCCGTTTGAGAAAAAAATAGGTACCCAAAATACATATGATATATAAGTCAACTTTCTGTTGATGGGAATTTCTGATTATATTACTGTAAGATCCTTTATATTGAATAGTTTGTGAAACACTAACGAGGACATTTTAGTAAATCCAGGTGTGAAACATATATGTGTATGTGTAGAAAAGCCCTTTCAAGTTGCTTATACAGGCATTCTTCTGCAAATTCTCAGTCAAAACATCGAGGAGAGGAGGCTGCAGGCATCAATTTCAACTGTTGGTATGTTTTTTTCTTTAATCTTTGAACTTTTGATTCTTACTTCTTTCTAAATTTAATATTATAATCTTACTTCTGCTTTCATATCTTGTTTCTAGTCTCTGTTTATTAGGCTTTTCTTCTTGTTGACTATGGATTGCATTTTGAAACAAAACCTGCTTTCTGTCAAATGGAGTCAAACTACGCACGCTATAAGCGAGCGAGTGCTGATAAATTCTTTGGTTTTCGAAAAAATCAAAAAAATAGCAGAAGAAAAACATTCTGATTGGCATGCCTTTCAAGACATTCAATACAGCAAATGATGCATGATACGGTAACAAGAGCAACCAAAAAGTCTCTGTTGACTAATTTCATCAAAATCAAGCAGTTGGCATCATTTCATTCTACCAGAAAGGCCCAAAATAACCGGAATTGCACCAAAATGCAAGCATGTATAACCCACCCATTGCTGGAAGTTTCATATAAGGAAGAATTCCACCAGTCAAAATTCATCCCCTGGACAAGTCTATTCGAGTTTATTATTGAAATATAAGTCAGAGGAAAAATTCATTCCCCTGCCGAACAAGGTCTATTTCGAGTTTATTATTGGGAAATATAAGTCAGAGGATATTCAGAATATGAACGGAACCTAATACTTCACAGTTGGAATAAAGAATGTTCAAGAGTTGAAGTACTTAGCCCAACTTTCAAAAAATCAACCCCCACTTAAAATGATCGAATGACATAGTCAATGCCTTTCACTGTAACTTGAAAAAAACATCCTAGCTATGAAGAGTAGGCCATTTATTTTACCCCGGATTTTTCACTTTAAAGGAGTCCAGTTAAACCTTTTCCTCTGCAATTGGAATAGATTTTGGCTAAGGCGCAATTGCACATCATTGTTCTCCAAACGTATAGTCGAAAGGGTGATGGAAGGAAGATTATCAGGGCTCAATTAGACACATTTAGCTCCTTGCCACCTGAAAATTATTACATGGTAAATCCTATAGAAAATTACAAAGCAATGTGAATAAGAAAGATTTTTATTAAAGAGGAAATATTAAGCTCCCATGCACAACAAACAATTAAACATCTCGCCTCCCGTGCAATTCAACAACAAACTCAACAACAAAATTTCATTGGCAACATATATCTTAAAACCCAAACCCTCCACAAGTTCATTTGTGAATAAGAGGCTTACATTTACGGTTACAAAGATGACACCAAACAATAATTTCATAACTTAGACATATATGATGAAATCATCCAGAGACCAGTCCAAAGCCTAGGACAGCAGCCACTACTACAATGATGTGTATTTTTCTGGTCAAAGATGTTTATTTAAAATCCATGTTTCCAGTGTATTAAGCATCTGCAAGCCATTCCTAACTTACTAGTTTCTACCCCCGCTTGAAGCTATGGAATGCAAAAGGTATGGCCTGCACAAATGTCCAATGTGTGAAAGAAAGTTGGATAAACAAGATTCTACATATGTATACTCTAACCAAGCAATGGCAAGAGCTTTCTCACATAAAGCTCTTTGAAACTTCTATTTTCCATTTCCCATGCATAATAAATTTAAAAAGTCTTTTCAGCTAAGTAACTATCAAGAATGAGAACTTTGATACCTCCTTCACAATATCATCCACTGTAACTGGTGTACGGATTTCTATAGCTTCATCTTTTGTTGCACGATTTCTATAGCTTCATCTTTTGTTTGCACGAGCACGGAAATTTCTCAGCATTTGATCCCTGCCCTTCGACGTCTTGCTGTAAGCCACCATATAATCAAAGAAGTGTTGCAAAGACCAATAGACTAAACTAGAAAGAGAGACATTTTTACAACAATGGATTCAACCCAATGAGAAAGAATTCAGATCATAATAGATAAGGCTAACAATGAGAAAGAATCAAGATCATAATAGATAAGGCTACAAACCAGTTGGGAATTAGTCAGGCGTCTTGCTGCTGTCTCATATTCTTTCATCTTATCCTCCACGGTCTCTACAACGACTTTAATTTCTTCTTCTTCCTCGGGTTGATAAATCTGATGCAATAACCAGGTCAAGAGCACATATGAAAAGAGTTGCCATCAAGTATTGAAAGAATTGATATTTTTTTTGAAATGAAACTAAACTGCATTGAAAGATAAATGGTGGATCTAAAAGTTCTGTATCAGCAAAAGTGAAACATTTGTATTTATTTCTGTTTAAACAAAATCAAGAGTTAAGAAACCTTGCGCTGCTCTCTTATGAGGTAAGCAAATTTGTCAATATTAGGGACAGCAAGCAATTTGGGCATGAGATGGTTCCGAAAATACCCAGGAGCGACTTTCACTGTCTCACCAGCTTTTCCAAGCTTCTCTATGTTCTGCAAGTGTTTGAAATGAATATCAGCAGTTGATTCTACTATTACATAAATTTTTGAACTGCGATAAGATTATAGCTGTGTGATTTTTAACAGAGAGGATACATGCAAAAGTATGTTACTACTTATCTCATAAAAAGCATATGTTTCAAGTTGTCAGCAAAAGTTTTCTTACTACAAATACCATAAATAGTATATCTAGGCACGATCCTTCCATCAAATGGAGCATTATACTTTCACTATCAATATTACACCTAATAAATAATTAAATTATAGCCTGCAAAAGCAGTAAAAAGGAAAAATTTATGGAATCTCTCCTCTTGTTTCCTTATTCTCTAAAAAGAAATGCAGGGTAGATATAATGATGAGAAAGCCACGAAATATTTAAATTTCAAAGCTCAAGAAATTTAGAATTACGGTCTACATTTTATGCAGGATTTAGATTGTGTGCGTGCGCGCATGTGTGTTTGTGTGATCTATATATATCCATTCATTTCAGATTTATATTTACATCCATTTCAATGAATAAGTTCCTAGTCAATGACTTTTAAGTCTAAGGGGCGATTTTTTAGTTTCAGTTTTTTTTTTAATTTCAGTTTTTTCCTGCAATTGTGTCCCTATTTATTTATGAATACTGTTGAGAATTAGTAGTTCGTAAAACTAAAATCTCACATAAAGAGAAACAGGTTCTGTAAAATGAACCTTCAAAGTGCTGTATATTTCATTGATTATGTTAGAGTTAACTCAAGATATGAAGCACAAAAACAAATTGCAGCCATATCTTAACCATGCTTAGCTTATGCCTATAACTAAGCTATTACCTGACCCCACTAGCTTACTTGCTGTAACAGCAAGCTTTACAGCAGATGCAGCCATATCTTAACCATGCTTAGCTTATGCCTATAACTAAGCTATTACCTGACCCCACTAGCTTACTTGCTGTAACAGCAAGCTTTACAGCAGAAAACAAAATACAATTTCCCTGCAAAGTGCAAGCTAATTAGAAAGTATCTCGACAAAAATCTCACCACTCCAACAAATACTTATATTTATATTAAATCATTATGTTTTTAAAGAAATTCAGAACTGCCACACTGACATTCAAAGCCTGATTCTTGATTTCCGAAAACCTTAGCCCTAGGCTTCTAATTCTAAGACTCAAGTTTTCCAAGCTGTCATGCATCATACAACTAATGAGGGAAACGTAACTTAACTTATAGATCAGTTAAATACATTTCCTTCACTGTTCCTTCTTCACAAACAAACCGACAAAGCCTAGACAAAGTACTTGAAAACTTGAGGATGCCACCACTACAAGAACTACAGCCATTTTGGTGTACTCACAAAATAAATTAAAAACTTGAGGATGCCACCACTACAAGAACTACAGCCATTTTGGTGTACTCACAAAATAAATTAAAAAGAATGATTCACAAAGTCTATTGAGCTAAACTTACAGTTGTAAGAATAACATCCAACTTTCTATATCGAACCCCTTGGCAAAAATAGAGAAGTGGAGGTATAGCACTATCAGACCTCTTAATGTTGGCACCTTTAATAATTTGCCACAAAGCATTTCTGCCATGTTGAACATAAGCCATTATTGCAATCGAGCCTGTTTCAATTCAAAGCAATTTCCATAACCATATACATATATATATACACATACACAAATCCTAGATACTATGTAGCAATATAATTTCATACCTTCTCAAAAATTGATTTGAAGGGAGTTTAGCTTCACTTTCTGTTTTTTCTGAGGGGAAAAAGAGAGAGTGAGAGGGAGACATTTTAAAAGTGAAATTAGGCAAAATGGGGTACCTATATATAATCAGAAACTTACACAATCAGAGAAAATCAAAGCAATTTTGAACATATTTTTACAGCCCGCAATGTATGGATACAATTGACAATCACAATTTAATCAAAATCATGAAGAAAAGAATAATTCCTATCACAATCTCATGAAAGCTGAAATCCAATACAATATACTCAAAGTTATTACACCTGGGATCTCTTTGGACTAAATGTACCTTTTTCTTCTTCAAATTGACATGAGCTTAACTATAAATGCAAGGATGAATTGATTCCATAGAATATAAAAATAAACTAAAAAAAGGACAATGCTACCAGTGAGATGGCAGTACAGGAAGCGGCTTTCTTCCCATCAGCAGCCGCGCAGGTCTGGTTTGTTTTAATGGCTGCAGGATGAGAAGGTAACAGAAGAGAGTCTTAGGTTTACAATTCGTTGGAAGTTTTAATGGCTTGAACTTGTATTTGGCATGGCAAAGGCAAGTAAGAAGAAAGCGGCGACAGATAGACGAGAAGTGGAGAACGAGCTACGAATTATTAAGGAGAAACTGCTATTTAGTCCTGAGTAGGGAGGCGGCAGGGTTGGTACCCGCTAGAAATAAACTACCCGACATGATTGTTAATTTAAGTATTTGAACCCGTTCCAAATCCATTAAGGAATAAACCGACAATATTCGAATCCGTTCCAAATCCGTTTAGAATTACCTAGATACTACCCGAACCCATTTAATCACAAATTCATTCAATCCATGAAACCCAAACCCACTTAGAACCCGAATCTGAACCCGACAATGGAACAAAAAATATATAAAAAATGCATTAAAATTCAACCTAAATGATAATAAGCACAATCAAACCAATATCTCACTTAAACAATTTGACAATCGAAAATATATAAAAATTCAATAACAATAATAACAATAACAAACTAAAAATCAATTAAAACATAATAAACTATAATAAATCATCATAGAATAAGAAGGTGTTGACATATTGGTATCATTTTTGCTACTATCTTTGCAATCTATACTCACAAATGTTGACATTATATTTAGATACAATATATTCAAAATACATAACATTATTAAATAGAAATATATTTAAAATATATAACATCATTAATCATTAAATAGAAAAAGGAAAAACAAAACAACAAATGTAAGATCAAAAAGAAATAAGCTCATTTCTAGTCTTAAAAGGAACTCAGTTAGGACGAAATAACAAAATAAAATAGTGAAATTATTTACATGAAAGTATGACCAAAAGAAAAGGCAAAATAACAAATAAAAAAAATAACAAAAGCCAACAGTTTACACTAGCAAATTAGGTGCTACAGCGCGAGCTTTAGGAGACTATAACAAAGAAAAAAAAAGCATCATCAAGATTCCATGGGCCGCGGACCGGCACTAGGGCCCAGGTAAAGTTTAATGCTCCAAGGCCCGTAGTTAAACCTGAAACACTAAATCTAACATCTCAATATAAATTTCAAAGATTCAGCCCCTATACTATGCAAAATAAATCTCATAATTATATTATACCTCGGCCCAAAATTAACATCTTCAACATTTCGATTAGTCGAGCCCAATTTATAATACATCACATTTTAGATATGGGCTCACAAATTATTTCTCTATATTATACACGACCTAAATGTATGTAAAATTTCTACAACTGCGGAGTCACTAACTGTTAGATCATACATAGATTCTTATACATATAGTTACATAGCAATAATTATTTGAACTAGGAAATTTCTTTCTAGCCCGCGGCAGAAAATAGCTTAACCTAATTAAGAGAAACTTACTTCCTGAAAAATTAAACAAGACATGTGAGTTTCTAAGAGTAATAGATTATTGCACACACACGCATTCAGCACAAATGTGTAAAATATATCAAATTCTGTCGTTCCGACTAGTATATGCTCAACGCAGACAAGTCACAAAAATGGCATAACAACAGCACTGCACACTTGATTAACAACTTCACATAATCACATCACGTGGAAATTTGGCTGTGGATCACCGAAACCACCGATGAGCCGCTCCTCTACATGGCTCATCCTCTCGATGATGTGTGACACCAGGGAGCCGATCCCAACATGGCAGAGCCGGTCTATCTCACTTTGACTAGCCCTCCATTGTTTTTCCATTGCTCTTTTTTTTCTTTTCCATACCTAACAGGAGGGCCAACCCTGTGGTTTTCCATATCATCCGAATATGCATATCTCGGATGCACGACGGGGGCCGCTTTGATCTCCTATACATGGCCCAACGTTATCGCCAAACCGCCCTCACAAAACCACATTGGACCCACTTCATCCAAGCTCACAACACAAACAAACATAACATTACACAAACAATTAATCAAGCTTGCAAATAAATGCAAGCATAAGCCATCATTAAATATCATGATGCCATAGAACGACTTTAGGACATGCATATCAAATTGAAAATAACATAAATAAATTAAATAAACAATATTAACATAAATAACAATGATAAAATAAATAATAATAATAAACAATAATGTGAAAATAATTAATTAATTGAATACAACATTAAATGAATATAATGATAATAATAAAATAATTAGAGAACTTATTTAATTAGTATCAAGTAAAGAATTTATCTAAATAAAACCTATTAAAATATTATTACTTAGACTAGCCCTGGTTTTATCGAGAATTTCGGCAGCACTCCCATAAAAAATATGACTATAATACACTGTTTACAATATCACAATAATATTATATAATTTATCAAATCAATACACAGCCCATATCGTCGGGCATAGGAATTAATAGGGCAAAGTTTGTGACTTGATCCTGCTAATACATAAGCTAATTGTTTAATGTCCACCAAGATTACAAATATGCAGTCATAAGTTCTTCCATCTTAATATTTATCAAAAACTAATAAATAAAAAAAAATAATATAGCTGTTGCCATTACAAAACATCTCATATTTCTTATCAAAACTTATAGTCTACATATAACTATATTCATCTTCTACCGAGAACAAGATATGAAACACACTTGCTTCTTGATCATAACAAAAAAACTCATACAATCTAACCATTCTATCTTACTCCATCTAAGGGTTATTAATTCCTATAAAAACTAACCATTTTTTTTTTTTACAATTAATTACTCAGTTTATATTTTCAATTTAGAGATTAATATCAAAAATTCCCGAATTATTTTCAGCGCAGTGTTTTGAATTCCCAAGACTCTTTCACAAACTGAAATTCATGCTCAATCTCAAGTCAATATCTCTCTCTTT